CCCCCCTTCTGATCCTGTAACCTTTCACACATAAACTCTCTGTTGTCTTTTCCCCGATTGTGAACTCTGACTCTGACTCTACCTCCCCCGTCTCTCCGTTTGTCTCTAAGGCGTTGAGGCAAAGCTGGACGAAATCAACAAGCTGAAGGTGAAAGGCCTGGTTCTGGGCCCTCTTCACACCGTCCAGGCCGACATCCCGGAAACCCTGAATCTTCAAGAGATCGACCCGACCCAGGGAAAAGTGGAAGCCCTGGTCGCTGTGCTGGAAAAAGCCCACAAGAAGGGTAGGTATTCCAACAACTCATATCAGGTTTTTTTTTTTTTTTTTTTTTTTTTTTTTTTGGCGTGGAAAAGCTCAAACCAGTATTTCCTTATGAATCACAAATGTTGGGAGAGATTCTCAGTTAACAGTAAGAGAGTAGGATGGTTGATGGTATTTTGTACTGCTTAAACCCAGATAGTGTTTTCTCACTGTTTCTGTTTACTTCTCCTCTCAGGCATTTCTGTGGTGCTTGACCTGACTCCAAACTACCTGGGAGCGTCTTCCTGGTTCAGATCTGGTGATGTTGATAACGTGATGGAGAAAGTCATGGTAGGACACACACATTTATCTTCTGTGGTCCTTAATTCACTCACTAACTTTTAATCGTGTTAAAGTGAGTCCATGTCATCAAGCTGTTGTGGCTAAAGCGCTCGTGTTCTCTTCCAGGCCGCCGCGGAGTATTGGCTGAATTTAGATGTTGATGGCATCAAGGTATCTGACCTCACCGTTGCTGCCAGCTCTGTTGATTGGTCCAAGCTGCAGTCTGCCGTCCAGATCAACAGCACCGACAAACCCAGGAAGAGGTAACTGTGGCGGAGGTTTTCTCACTCGCTTTTGTTCTGCATAAGTAGACGATCTGTGAGGATTCTTAATACATTTAGCTACTGCCTGCAGATATAGAGAGAGACTGCACTGTTATGACATGAATATTCATTCAGATATATTGGAATATTCAGCATTACCAGCTCAATTTGCAAGCAGGGAAAAAAAGCAGGACTCCACCTCCAAAATTCAAACCGATTTTAATAGATTTTTTTTAAACAATTTTTGGGAATATCATTTTCAGTCAATTGTCAGGACAAATAACCGATGTTTCCTGAGAGAAGGTGGAGATTAAAAGCATTCCAGTGCTGCGGGGGACTGTGGGTGGGGTCAGAGAGATCAATGAGAGAGGCTCTCTCTCGTTTCACACTTTCTCATGGCGAAGCGACACCTTGTGGAGGGTTTGAGGAATGACTCAATCGACTCTTCAAAAAATCGAGTTTCATCCGAGGGCGTATTCCAAGATGCTAATCGGAATTCTATGCTATTTTCAAAAGCTACAAACCAGTGTCGGCAGTGTAATTATACCACCTTCTCTTTCTCTCAGGCTGCTGATGGGTGTGGTTGAAGGTATTTCGGCTGACGCGGTGTCTCAGCTTGTCAACACGACTGGTGTCGATCTGGTTCTGTCTGACCTGCTCAGCACCAAAAATGGAGGTAGGCTGAAGTGCTTTCGTTATTTCGTCATGCGTGTCGGGTGAATGCCGTAGCATAATATTCTGGACACAATGCATCCATTATTCGTTTTTACTTTATCTCTCCTTATTCTGTGGTTTTATTAATCTTTCTGTCTAAATCTCGAGCTAACAAACTATTGTCCGTTCGTGTGTGAAAACCAACCGGTTGGTCCAAAGCGGTGCATTGCACGAGATCATTTTCCTTCTGTATGTGCAGGTGTGGAGCGCATCATGGCCATGGACACCCTCAACTCTCAGCAGAGAAGCCTCGGCTGGGGTCTGGGCGCCGCCCAACGCGACCAGCTGGCCAAACAGGCGACGACTCCGGGCCTGATCCGCCTCTACCAGCTCCTGCTGTTCACCATGCCCGGAACCCCAGTGTTTACCTACGGGGATGAGATCGGCCTCCAGGCAGCAGCCGTAAGCCGCAAAACCGATTTTTTTTTTTTTTTTTTTTTTTTTTTTTTTTTTTTTTTTTTTTTTT